AGAAGGGTTTGGACAGATGCTCCGAGTAAGGGCGCCTTTCATCCGAGCTGTTCTCGTTCTAATACCAGTGCTCACACCACGCCGATGTGATACGAAGAGTGTTGAGTTTCCTGAGCAGATGAAATAGGGAACCGATTTGTCTCACAGAAAGTGAAGCCTCAGGTTTAGGGGCCTTTGCCCCTTTTCTGAAGACACAGCTGTCATCTGCTCTTCCTTCTTTCTCCCTTCCTTCCCCTCCTCCTACCAAGGAGGAGAAGAGACAAACCACTGCAGGCATCTGCCTCACTTCCCTTTCAGTCTTTGCCTCTCCTCGGCCTCTTCTGCTGTCTCCCTCCCGGTGTGCCCAGGCCTCGTCTCAGACTTTCTCCCATTACAGCCTGTAGCCGGCACTGGCTGGTGCAGGCAGACGTGGCCTAGCCCAGGGCGCGCTGCTTCGGCCTCACCTGTCAGAAAGCTGCCAGGGCTGCTGCCGCTGCAGGACGTCTACACAAGAAAGGAAAAGACAGTGAATGCTTTGGGGATTAAGGGCCCTGGGTCTTAGGTCAGGAAGACGATGCAGCCTTGAGTAAGTCATGTCACCATTCTGTGGCTCAGACTTCACATACAGAAATGGGCAAGTAATGACATCCCTGGCAACACACACACACACGAGTTGTGAGCTGAGCACCACGGGAGCAGGGACGGGCCTGAGCAGCACTGCCACGCCCGGCCCACCTCCTCCCACAGCTGCTTGTGCCGGCCCTGTGGGGGAAGAGCCGGCGGCACTCGGGTGGCAGAGCAGGTAGGGTGAACTCTGGCTGACATCCCGGCCCCAGTGGGGACCTGGCTGACCTCTAGGTCTCGGTAAACAGCCACAACCACGTAGCCTCATTTGGGGAAGCAGTCTAGTACTGCTTCTGAGACTTCTCTTCTGGAAACTCAGAGAGTGGTCTGACTGGCGCAAACTCACCTCTGTGCCCACTGGCAGTGTCCAGGTACCAAGTCAGAAGGAGGCTGACTCCTCCTTGAGTCCTTTCTTTCTCCTGTCCTTTCAAAGTGACAGATTGAAGTCAGGGAGATGAAGTCACCCCTCCAAGTTCAGGGGTTACGTTTAGTTTTTTGATGCCGGGGCAGCGTCTGGTGCCAAACCACAGATTTCTCTTGCAGTGGCTGAGCTCTGAGGTTAGCGGCCGAGACCATGGATACAGACTGGGGCTTGCACCCAGGTCTTCCACCGAGGAGTGGCATAGCTTGGGGCCGTCACTTAGCCTCTCTACGAATCGGTTTCTCCACAGTCGGTGTGAACGCCTTCACAGCACAGTCCACACTGTGGACTGTTCAATATGCATATTGGTTTAGTTGTCATCTGCAGGTGCCAGGAAGAGAGCCCAGGAGCAGCCAGAGCTGGCTGGGTCTCAGCCCCGTGCTCCAGAGTAATCTGACTTCTCGGCCTCAAGTCTCATCATCTCACAGAGCCAGGTTAGGTCGGGTAGGCTTGTCGTCACTCCGTATTTCTAGACCGGATCTTCTCTTAATTAACTGCGGTCAGATATTTAATACTTCCGATACGAGTAAGGTATAAGGAATAACAATAAAATGAACATTTAGCCCCACCACCCAACTTGAGAAATCAGAGACTGCCACTGCCTGGGAGCCCCGCATGCCCCTCCAACTCCACTTCCTGTTAACCATTTAGCCGAATTTCCTATTTATCATTCTCTTCCTTGATTTCACCGCACATATGTGTCCTGAGTAACTTTCTGTTTAGTTTTATGTCTTTAACCTTCACCTACACACAGTCATGCTGTATGAACGTCTTCAGCGCGCCTTTAGGGCTCGGTTATTTTTGTTCTTTATCCATACTGATGTAGTGGTTATAAATTAACTCTTCTGTTGATGGACAATTGGGTTATTTCCAGAGCTGTTTTTGTTTTGTTTCGTTTTTAAGAAACAGTGCTAGACCAGTATGGAGGTTCAGGCGCTAGATCCGACATGGTCGACTGCGCGGTTGAAGTCCGGACCTGGTAGCTTGGGAATCATGCCAGGTACGTGTGTGTGTGTGTGTGTGTGTGTGTGTGGCCCAAATCCCAAGAGGAGAGTGGAGAAGGGATTGTGGCATGGCCATTACCCCTGGGGGATGATTTCTTACTTTCTCTCTCTCTGGTAAGCACACGCGCTCTATAGCAAAAAAAAAAAAAAAAAAAAAAAAAAAGAGAGAGAGAGAGACCAAGGGAAAGAAAGAAAAGAAATAGTGCTTCCACGCTGGGTGCGTGTGCGTGCGTGCCCAAGATCCCGAGAGGAGAATGGAGGAGAAGGGATTGCGGCGTGACCATCCCCCCTGGGGGTGATTTCTCACTTTCTGGCTCTCTCTTTGTCTTTCTGGCAAGCACATGCACCCTATAGCAAAAACCTCTCAAAAGAAAAAAGAAAAGAAAAGAAAAGAAAAGAAAAGAAAAGAAAAGAAAAGAAAAGAAAAGAAAAGAAAAGAAAAGAAAAGAAAAGAAAAGAAAAGAAAAGAAAAGAAAGAAAAAAGAGAAAGAAATAGTGCCTCAGTGAAAACTCACACACACTCACGGACAAGCCATTGGTGCAGGTGGTTAGGAGTGCCCTGCCACACCTACACCCCACTGGTCCTGGGGTGTATTTCATCAAATGTATTCGATAACACCACACTGTTTCCAACGTGACTGCTTTATGGTTTCTGTAGAGTATACACATCCAAGTTTTCTTTCAGGTTGGGCTTGTCCATTTCTCATCTAGTAATTAACTAGCCTAGTGACTAACTTCCACGTCCACAGAGCCAGCGGACCGAGCCTGGGTGCTGACGAGGGGGTGCTGTTCTGCACGCTACGTGGTCTCGCTCCTCGTACAAGTCAGCAGGGAAGACCCTGTGCTGTGCGTCTCTGTCCCTGGTTAGCCAGCTGCAGGTGAGGACAACTGCGGTGGGCCTGGAACATGAGGCTGTCAGGCTGCACACCACGTGGGGCAAAATGCCCAGTCTGGAAAAGCAGCCTCTCGTTTTCACCATGTCAGACTAAATACAGTAAAAAGAAGAAAGACAAGTGGCTGTAAAAAGAAAAAGCAGAAGTGTAACTCTTGCCTCTGGTCTTTTTCTCTGGGGAAATAAGAAGTTGCCGGCCCAGGTGCTGAGCAGAGCTGCTGGTGGAGAAAGAAGTCAAGTGACCAATGGGACGCACTTTACCGTAAGTCAGAAGGGCGAGCTGACTTGACCATGCCATTCCTGTCGCGTTCCCACCCTAGTCTCCTTGTCTCTCAGCTGGAAGACGGGAGAGGGGAAGGGCAGGGGTCTAGAGCTCCTTCAGAGTACGCTGCAAGAAAATTGAGCTGCTAGATTAGAGCAAATAAACAATCAGAGGAGGCAAGCTCTCACCTTTTCCCGTGAAGGACTGTCTTCCCTTGCTGGCCGAGTCAGCAATGGGCCAAGCAGAAGGCCCCACCTTTCAATAGCTCTGAAGATTCTGCTCTTGAGCATCTGGTCAAGCCAGAAATTCTAAGTAAGCGCATGAATGTGAACAATCAGGGTCACCTGGAGAATACAGAACCTCCACTGGTACCAGGAGGCACCGGTGGGAAGACTCCAGCCCCTGCTCCACCTTGCCCGCCACTGCCACTGCCGCTCCTTCTCCTCCTCTGCCCCTCCATCTCCCTGGACCCTGGGTCTGTAAAGGAGCGGAGCCTTCTTCTTGTCGCCCTGTGAATTCCTCAGACCCGGGCAAGAACTCGCTTCCCTCATGGACACTTACTTCGCACAGCTGAGCGGGTTCTCCCTGCCGGCTGCAGGGAGTGTGTCCAGGAACAGAAGGAAGATCCCCTCTCACCTTCTTCCTCCCTCTCCCTCCACTGCTGCTGTTCTCTC